CTTGGTATGGGAAAATCGGGGAATGATGTCATTGCGTCCTATGAAAAACAGGATGCAGATTGGCACCTCCCTACTCCCTCTGCTGGCAAGGCTCAGAAGATGGGAACAAAGGAATTTCTGCTGAGATCCCAAAGCCAGAAACTGCCACTTCAAAGAAAGCTGACTCAACAACTTTGGATTTGAGCTGTCCCTCCAAAGAGAGTTGACTCAGACACTTTGGACTTAAGTTTGCACTGCCATTGGAAACTCAGTCACAGTCATCGTCGTCATCAACCAAGCAACAATGCACAGCAACCAACTACTGAAGTTCAACAACTGAACTGCAAACCAGTTGACCCATAGTGGTGACAATCTTCCTCTTGGTTCCTACAAAGCTTTCATTTCCTATCTTTTCTATCTCCCGTCTTCCCTTCCCCATCTCCCCAAACGACAAGAACTTGTAATAAACTGGTTGGGCTAACATTTGATCCATTGTGTCTTAATTTCACAGTCAGGTATACTTATATTACAAGAACCTCCTCTCCCTCCTATAAATTGGAGCAAGACAGAAGGCTGAATTTTAATCACACACAGCTTGTCCTTCATGAGTACATAAAAATATAATTAAGATTAACCTTACAGCAAATTGGACTTTTTACTCTTGGAAATAATTAGAAGACCACCAATATAGTTGTTATTATTAAATGTTTGCCTAGAACCTGAGAAAGTTAGCACAGGGGGTGGTATGTAGATTCGTAACAGTCATTGTAAACTATCAGTAAGTCTTTTATTGTGTTTCTTTCACATGTAGATGCAAGAGAAAGTATGCATTAATGTATATATTAAAAATTTAAGATGCTTGAATAATTACCACCTAAACCTGCATAGAAATTGTAAAATTTATGTTTTGTTTTAAGGAAGTTGTAAATAACAGGAAGACTCTTACAGCCTAAACCCAGATGTATTGCTTGCACAAGATGCAGCAGCGCAGTCTTATCTGAAGAACATCATGAAAATGGGGAGAAATAACCAGGAAAATGAGCTGCAATTCTCAATGGCTCCAGGAAACATTTTCCAATATATACCAGAGAAATGTTTGTCTAAGAACTCTTCATGTTAGAGCACACTTGGGTAGGCTGTAAAGGTTAGGCAGATATTAAAATGTAATTGATACAATAAAGCTTAAACAGATTATGCCTACTCTTAATTATAACCTTAATTAATTTTAAAAATAATTATGTAACAGTTTCATTTCTGTAAGTCATGATTTTTAAATAAATGTATTAATTTAACTTTGAGTCTTGACTAATGATAAAGATGATGCTATAGCCTGATATTTGCCAGGCCACAGTGTTCCTTAGGGCACTGTGTGTTAGCCAGAGCAATCTGGCAGATTTCCATAGTGTTTACTATGCAATGAGAGATACAACTTGAACTTTGGGGACCCAGAAGTAACTGTAAAAACACCAAATTCTTATGGATTAGAAATTACTGCAAATGGTAGCTTAAGCCTCTGACAAATAATGAGAGGGTGGACACAGAGCTTGAGATCTTAGCATGTCTTTGAAAAATGAAGAGATTTTGTAGCACGACGGCTCTTCTTCATCACTGAAAAAATGCACAGTTAATGGTGGTGTCTACTTCAAATAAGTGTTCTGTAGCTGAGAATTTCCTCTACCAGATAGTATTATTACACTCTGTGTATCTTTTGCATTTTCCAAGGAAATAAATAAGAGGTGCTACTTTTGGATCAGCCTATGTAGATTATGGATACATACGCATCAAAAAAAGCCATTTTGATTCACAAGGTTTTCAAGTAAACATTTTTCTGTTTCACTCCAGGGAGTTTATTTTTGATTTTCAACTTCAAAGAAACCTAAAAAACTAATCTGAAATTCAGTCCTTGTTTCAGTTTCAAAAACTCTGGATAATGTTAAATTCCCTGACCAAAGCAAAAGCAATTCACTGACAAAAGCCTTCAATACCACAGAATTACACTGTTCCTTTAAGTTCAGCAAAACTCAAGGTCTAGAAAATCATAAGGTACAGAATTAAGATATCCGCTAATATAATCTTGAATCCAACATCTTTGATACCCTGTTATATACACAGCACAAACTCTGGAGTCACTGAGAAAATAAATAATTTTCTGCTGAGTATAAATATAAGATTACGCTATTAATCAAATGATTTTAAGTAAAATAGTACTGAACTGACACTGGTAGTGCTACGTCTACTTGAACAATTTCCTACTCCATGGAGTCATGACATCTGCTAGATTTTGCAGCTTTTTCACCCAACTCGTAATCCTGTTCAAAATTACTTTCAGTTTTTTTTATACTCTACAACCGTTGTCATTCCAACTTCCTTTCTCCTCCAGCATCTCTTCTATACTGTTTGACTTGTATTATCACAAACATCAGAAATCTCACAAGAAAATGAAAGGTAACACCATACAGATTCAGGTACAGATACACACTGTGCAAGTAGGAAAGGACATATTGAGTCAGCATCACTGTAGCAGAGATGAGGCCCCAAATCTCAGGATAAGCTAACTACAACCTTTAGCAAACTTCAACTAATCCCCTTATTATTTGAAGTTCTGTTCTACTTAAAACACAGATGGAATATGCTCTTTTATTTACTGATAACTATTGTTTGCTCTGTAAGGGCAGAGTAAAGGTTCTGTAGGTCTATACTTAAACATTACATTTTTTTGTTTTTCACTGATTCTGATGCCCTTGAATTGAAACTCCAAAAAGTCACAAGACTTCACATACTCTGATAGGAGCTCCACTGAAAAACTCACTGCTCACTCCATTTTTATAGGAAAGAAGACTTCTGAAACTATAGCAATGCAAGTTAAAAACTAAAATGAGGTTCTTGGAATATCAACAAAACAAAAACTTATCCATTGAAGTTAGAAACTTCAGCTGAATTAAAAAGTAAATGTTGACAAATGCATCTCTGAATGACAGTGATAATCTATGCTTTATCCATCTCATAATTAAATACAGGACAAAGAACTTCAAATTCCCCTTATGTTATTGTAGTCCAACAGTGCCCTTTACTTGCATTATTACAGCTTATCCATAAAATGCAGGTGAAAATCCTATTAAGCTCCTTTAGTTCTTTCCTTTTTAATGACTGTGATTTTATAAGTTATATCATCCATTCATTTTTTCCTTTGTGATTCAAGAAGAGAAGTTAGACCTGTTAGGTTACATGTTAAGAAGTCATCTACCCTCCCAAAAAGGAGCAAAACAAGTCATTAGCAGGAAGAAGAGGACAAATGATAGCCTGCAAGGCTGTCCAAGGTCCAGGCACCAGCAACCGAGATGACAAGGATCTAAGGCAGGTACAGAGTGAACTGCCTAAGCCCAATCACTGGAGAAATCCACCATCTGTGTGTAAATTGTTCCAATCTTCCTCACACACTTTCCCCAGTGAATCTCCATCCTACACAGGTACTGCTGCCGTACAAAAATGAGTGCTCTACGAGTTGTGCAGCTTGTGGCATACGGTGTATGTGGTGCACCTGTGCTGTGTGTGCATGCCCCTGCTGGGAATGTATGCAGCTGCAGGAATCTTGCCTCTGTCTGGATGTTAGATTCAGTATGACACACTTTCCTCCAACAGATTACACTTGTTTGCAGACACTTGCTAGATAAAATACGATTAACTAAATAAGCTTCCATCCCTACGTTTCTCCAGTTAAACACCTTAACAGCCTATCATTTGCTTAGGAAGCACATTTTTCCAGATGTCCATACTAGAACAGTACAAACTCTATAAAGATAATACTTCCAGAAAGAAACATAAGCAGTTTTTGATTTGTTTAATCAAAATACTACCTCATTCTAAATTCTTTCCCAAGACTAAACGTGCCATCACTGTGCATGTTTACTCTTGGTAGGAAAAGTGTTGCCCAGGAAATTTGTCCTCAAGCACTAGTACTTCAAGTATCTCCCTGCAGTAAACATTTATTTGCCATTTAACTCTTTCAATTTCACTAGTTCATTTGCCAGATCATGAAGGACTGTGACACTTAATAGATACGCACTCATAGTTAATATATAAAATACATTATCTCCCATGCTAATACAATATTTCAAAACAGAATAGATCTTTGTTGAAAATCAGACACCTGTAAATTATCACCATTATTCTCATTACTTCTTTTTTTTTTTTGTTAAGAATGAAATAATCTTGTTCTATCTTTCTAACATGTTACACTGTTGTAGCTAAAGAAGATTATATTCATTTATATCTTTATCTACATGATAAAGTAGAAATTCAAATTTTCAACTGTTCAGAGGCATCTTTATGGTGTCTTGAATATTAAGAGGGAACTTGCTAAGGAAAGAAAAGAGAAAAAGTAAGGACTGGATATATTTCCTGCATCTTCTAGACATTTCATAACACTTTACTTGGCAGATGAATAATTCTGTTTTTAGTATATAATGAAGGAACAGAAGACACATATAAGTAAATCTGCATATGCTTTGGAACCTGTATCAAGAGCAACTGCAGGTTTTTCTTTTCTTTCTGTGCTTTCATATCCTATAACACAAGTAGAGCTCATAATAAATATTCTTACTTGGAAAACATCACAACAGAGTGGATAGCATGGTTCTAGAACAGCTGAAAACAAGTACTTAAATGTGACTTGTGATTAACAACCAGAAACTGTCTCTCGCAGTGGTCAGCAGTTCCTTGCAATAGTTGAGGTGATAACCACTGAATCCATATGAAATTGAGGATGTTATTTTCTTCGGGATACTCAGCTAAGACAGCTGTGCTGCTTTTGTCCCATGCATGGTACAGAATAGTGCTATATAAATGCAGCCCTAGGGACACAAGGTGGAACATTTGTTGAATTGAACTTTTCATTAGGAAAAAAATAAAACAAATCAGGTTACAGGATGTTTAGCAAGCAGAGAGGAAAGCTGAGTTTTTAATCTCAACTAATCAGTGCCTTCTGTACTCAGTTACAGTTTTGAAATGGCAGGATGGCTTACAGTTGTGACAAGTCGTCCCGCTGTACCCAGTTCCATCACAAGTACACTTGAAGCTGTCCCACGTCTGGGTGCATTTGCCATCGTGTTCACAGTGATTGGGCACACACCTGGCAGAATAAGATAGGAAGAGAGAAAAACAATTAAATGAGCATCAGGATTTACACATGGCTAAGCTAGGAGCTGCACAAACATTATATCACGTCCTTGCCTGATAATTAATTTTTGTTATTTTATGCATAACAACAGAATTGTATCCAAACACACAAGTGTACAACTGGTGATTAATCTGCAGCCCCTGCACAACAACAACAACAAAAAAAAAAGACAAAGGAGGTAATAAAGGTGGAATGCAATTGCTCATCATGAATTAAGGTTCTAAGCTAAGCATTTCTGATGCTTAGCTGTCAAAGCAAAAAGAACATCACAAGGTGCATTTCCTTCAGCTGTACTGGTAGTGTCATGTTTCATGGAGTGACTGAAAGTTAAGTAAAGAATGCCAATTTCTATTGAACATCCTATTGCCAGAAATGGGATAAAGTGAGGAAGGCTGCCTGCTGGTTAGTAAGGAACTTACTAATGCTGCATTACTAAAGCAAGGTGATATAGTCTTCAGTATTAATGGTACAGCTGTATTTTCTTCATAGGGATTCATGGCAGAGATTCATTCTCCTTTATCCTATCCATTTGGACATGGACAGTGGGATCGAGTGCACCCTCAACAAGGTTGCAGACAACACCAAGCAGAGTGGTGCTGCTGAAATGCTAGAGGGAAGGGATGCTATCCAGAGGGACCTGGACAGGCTTGAGAAGTGGGCCCATGCCAACCTCATGAAGGCCAGAAGCACAAGGTCCTGCACCTGGGTCAGGACAATCCCAAGCACAGATAAAGGCTGGGCAGAGAATGGCTTGATAGCAGCCCAGAGGAGAAGGATTTGGGAGTGTTGATTGACAAGAGTCAACGTGAGCCATCAACATACACTTACAACCCAGAAGGCCAACCGTATCATGGGCTGCATCAAGAGAAGTGTGACCAGCAGATTGAGGGAGATGATTCTGCCCCTGTACTCTGCTCTCATGAGACAACCTGGAATACTGCATCCAGTTCTAGAGTCCCCAGTGCAAGTTGGAGCAGGCCCAGAGACGTGCCACAGAGATGATCAAAAGGCTACAGTACATTCCCTACAAAAGGGCATGCTGGGTGCTCTTCGGCCTGAAGAAGAGAAAGCTCTGAGACCTTAACAGCAGTGTTCAGCTCCCAAAGGCTGGGGAGGGGCTTTGTATAACAGCCTGTAACAACAAGGTGAGGATAAATGTTTTTAAATAGGTTTAAATGGTTTAGACTCTTCATTCCTTTGACAAGGACATATAGACCAAGTTTCCTGAGTCACAAACTGGAATTTGACTCAGACCAACCACAATTCAATGAGATAGTATTTAACAATGGTTTATTTATTTTGCAGTGTTCTCCCTGAGCTGAACAATATGCTCACAAATCTTAATGATGCGTGCGTATTGTTCATTAGTAGCAATGTAAAATACATATTCATTTAAAATCCTCTTCCTTTTATTTATGCACATCTCCTATATTCTTAATTTGTGAGATTTTTGGGATAAGAAAGAAGATTTTAGTTTATATTTGCCAAGGGTTTATCACAGTGGAATTTCCTCACTCTCCTCATTGCAGTCAACTGGATCAAGAGCAGTACTGAACAGTAACAAAGAAATGAATGACCTTTTTGCACTTCGCTATTCTCCTCTAAATCATCATTGAGCATATTTATATTGGTTGGTTATCTTTTTTTTTTTCTTTTACTGCAATGATTCTCCCATCTCTAAGCAGCAGCACACCTAGCTAAAATTCTATATAGAAAATATTAAGCATGGTTTCAACTGACTTATTCCCTTGTCCTTTCTGTGTGTCCTTAGTGTATACATTTATTTTATTCTTCTATGGAAGCCCCAAAACATTTTTATAAATTACAGTATAATGAACGTTTTAGATGTTCAAGATATTTTTAAGACAACAAAGGAAGTACATTCCAACAAATCATGTGCCGTGTGCTACTATGGTCACAGCTCTGTCATACAAATAGAAATACAGTGCTTAACTCACACTCTATTATTTAATCAATTTTAAATTTGCTAAAAACAGATGCATAGAGTAATAACTCATTCATTACCTAGAACTTGTGCAATGAACTGCTTTGATGTCAGAAGGCTTACTGTTCAAGCAGTAAATAGGTGCAAATATATGTATGTGTGAGATTGTGCATAAACATATACAATTTTTTTTTTTTTTTTTCCAGCAAGAATGATGACAATTTCAGGGTTTTGAAAATGGAGAGTGCTTTCAAAAAAACCACAAAACATTCATATGAACTGCAAAACAGTTTTTAAGGACAATTAACAACGAGGATGAGACAGTTTTAATAATACGCATTTGACTTTAAAATTATAATAACATGATCCTGATATGCTTAATTCACAAATAGAGCATTGCTGGGAACCTACAATTCTATTTAATACCCTTGTGATTGCCCTATAGAAACATTGATTATTGACTATTATTTGAGTGTAATTTAATAGGTCTTTATTCTATTTTTCAAGCAGTCCACTTTCAGCACAATAATCAGTAATTCAGTTTATTATAAACTTCGATTTTTCAAGGTTTTAGATTTCATTTATAAAAATGAAATTATAAAAATTCATAAAAATCCAGAAATCTGCACACAAAGAATAAGATACAAAAGGAAAAAAGGTCCCTACAAAATATTTTGCTTTTGCCAGACAGTTTGGCATGAAATATTTTACACTTCCTTGAAACAGTGCTCAGTGGAAAGTGCCAGTTGTGATTAACACCTCAGCTTGAGTAGATGTTGGAAAACATATTGAAATCCTTGAAATATGCCATTTGAAATGTTCTGAATGCATACCAACTTTTTTCAATTCAAAACAATTTTTTATTTTGATATGTATGTTAAAATATACTGTATGCTTGATGCTCTACCAAACCAAGTAATGATGTCTTCCAACTTTCTATTTCAAAATGAAAGCATTTTCAGCAGGTGCACTGGGCTGTTGTGGTTGAGTGGTACAGTACTGAAGAAAAAGTTTGAAGCTATGTAGCTTTGATAGCTGCACTGATAGTTAATAGTTGAAACCTGCTCAAAGTAGTACAATAAAAATAAACTGCAATATAAACAGCCATTCTTCATATATTGCTTGCATCTTTGTGCATAATTAAAACATATGGTCAATGCACTAATGTAAATAAGATGATTTCTCAAGTAATTCAGGGGGCTGCTCCTCAAGAATAGATTGAATTATTCTATTCAGTATTTACTGAAGCCTGGGGTTCTTTTGAAGAGGAATTAATTATAAGAGGAGAGATCTGCACAGTAACATAGAACTCTCACTCTGCAAAGGCAGATGGGGTATAAAGAGAAATCTGGGTCATATCAGATTGAACTAACATTTAGGATGAGTTGTACTTCTGCAACATTGTTCAAAGCAGAGGTGATCGATCTGAAAAAAAGAATATGTGAACAAGACAGCCTGGTAAAGGCTATCAGCTCTTAGAACAGCAATTCCTGTAAAAGTATCAAGTGTTCTAATACTCTTAACACCAGTCATTTAAGAGACATAACATCTGGATGTATGAAATCATTATTGTGGCTAGCATGACATAGTAGAACCAACTATTACCCATATCAGGGTACTTGCACTTGCATTCTGGCACAGAGGATCTTTTTGTCTGTGTTATTTGATTTTATTTCAATGAGGGAATTTTGACAATTTCAGTGGATATTTACTAAGGTCTTCTCTTAACCTCTTACTTACAGACATTGTGCCATAAATAAATAAAAAGAACAAGCCATGGTAACTGCTACAGAAATGGTTAGTCTTTTCATTGCTTACCTATTTACAGTAACAGCTATAATTTAAACAGTAATCCTTATTAGAAGAAATCTGTGATTTGAGTTCAGTATTTGTAAGATGAAATACCTAATTCATAGGTATCGGTCATCACTTGCACAGGTATTATAAAAATACAGTCTTAATTTCTTTAGATTTTTTTCAGTATGCAACAATACAAGCAGAATGAAATAAATCATGGCTATTTCCATTTCAATATGGATACAAAACTGAACAGTGGTGTAACGTGAAGTATCTAACATTGTGTATTACTAAGATAGCAACACAATACAAATGATAATCAAATCTGTTTATAATATGACAATATGGCTATTACGAGGAAAGGTTCCCCTAAGTCTGCCACTAACTGGGTGGTCTGTTATGCTATGGCCTCCGAGGCCACTGGGGAGTTCATTAGAGATGACATGATGCCGTACTGATGGGGTGGTACCTGCTGCAATATGAGGTCCCTCATTCCTGATGAAAATTTTACAAGGTCTGAGCTTTCAAAGGAATAATCATAAATTGCTTCCTTCATGCCCAGTTCCCCAGTGCAATTTTGTGAATCTTCCATGGATGATTCATAGGCTCATATTTAAGAGTACATCACTTTTATCTGGCCGCATTACACTGCATGCAGACATTAATCATTGAATTAAAGAATGATTTTCCTCATTATGCTGAACTGTAGCATATAACCTTTGTTTGAGGGCTAGGTGCGTAATGTTAGCTATGAGTTTTGGAATTTGTAGCTGCAGTAGAATTGCCAGGTCACAAGCTGAAACCATTGGTTGAGCACTAGGTGAAAAGGCATTGCTGAAGTGGGGAGCTCAGATGCAAGCAATGATGAAGGTGTGGAGCCTGGATCCATTTCTCACTCTCATTTAAGAATTAGCAGCATCTCTCTGGTTACAAAGTGGCTTGTTTTTTTTTTTGTTTGTTTGTTGTTTTTGTTGGTTTTTTTTTTTTTTTTTTTTTTGAGTTGGTGGTTTCTGAAAGGGGTGAGCTAATTTTCCTTCTTTGTTATCTGCTATAGTTTTGTAGTTCTTGTATCCCATTAGAAAATGCTGTCATTGCTTTCTTTTGCTAGATACTGGTCCACTTATTGTTATACTTTTGGCTTCCATATCCCATAGTTAGAGCAGCTGAAGTGTGGGGAATTTTTTCTTGGCTTCTGTCAGAAGCACTGGCC